TATGAGTTTTAATGGTAGGTAAAACTCTGCTATTACATTTAAAAAAAAAAAAACACCAATGTGTATTTTTTTTTATGACCTGGAAACACAATTTTCAATAACTCAACTAACCTGTCCGTAGTGTGGACTTAGCAGCAATTACTTCTTTAACCCATTCAATGAATGTGTAAAGTCTTAGTATAGCTGCATCTGCAGTACTCTCTACAAAGTTGGCATCTTCCACGGAATCTCCAGCATCAGCTAAAGTTAATCTCATCCCATCTGCACTGAACTTCTCTATAGATTCAGATAATGTCAAGAAGTTCCCTTCAGACTTTGACATCTTAGCTGAATTCAACATTAAGTGACCATTGGCTCTTATACCTTTAGGCCACTTGTCTTCTTCGTTAGGCCAGACTGCACAGTGGTTGTAAATGTAGTAAGTCAAGTGATTTTGTATCAAATCCTTGCCTGACACTCTGAGATCGACAGGATACCTATAGGTGAAGTACATTCAAAATTACGTCTTATTTCTATAGCCTTGGACAGTAAATTAAATTATAATCTCAGAATAGGTTTTAGTACAAATCAATTCCAAATATTTCATTTGAAGCTTTCTAAATATCAACTTACCAAAACTGGAAGGACTTCTTCATGAGGTCTAAAGAAACTTTAGATATCTTGGATTCCTTTGGTGCTGGTGCATCTTTGAAAAATATGTAATCCCACACCTCAGGGGTCATCTCTTCTGGTTTAATTTTAAGAGCATTCTCTCCTCTGCCATTAAAGGTACCTCCTTGCAGGAAGTGAGATATAGTATAGTAGGCATTGTATATAGTGGAGTCAGATAAAGACTCTATCACCCATTGCTGATCCCAGGGTAATTTCGTACCTAAAACAAGAAGAAGGATTCAGAAATTAATTCAGGGGCGTCGCTCTAACGTGGGAAGAGGTGTTAGCAGCCAACCACTTCCCCTAGAGCCTGTAAAAATGTAGTGACGCCCTTAAGCTGATTGAAAGTTATACAATTTGGAAAGCAAATAAGTAGGATAAAATAGACGAAAACAAATCAGCTAGGATTTCTAAAAACACTACTTTCTCTTATGCTTATTATAATTAAGATGAATTGTTACCAAAGAATTTTATAACATACCAAGGCCATAAGTCCTAGAGCATGCATATTCATGCAGCCAATTGAGTGTTGCTTGGAAATTTTTTCTGACCTCATCATGGTAAGTGTTGATTGCTGTTAAGGCTTTCTCTGCCTGCGCCTTCCAGTGCTCTTCTCCATAGACAAGGTACCATTGATTACAGAGAGCTACAACACACTCATCACCTGACCTTGAAATAATCGTCTTCTCAGGTTCATAGTACACCACAGCACCATTCTCTTTTATCAACTTTGTTTGCAAGTTCTTTTTAACATCCTGAATCTTACTTCCTTTGTATTCACCCACTAAAAGAACTCCATCATAGAAACCTTTTAGGTAAACCATTTCTTTCGCTTGTATTAACTTATCCTTGTCATTCTGACTTTGTATCTTCAGTTTATCGTAAACATGCACAGCCGATAAATTCCCATATTCTGGAATTTCAAGAATTGGTACTGGTTTGTACGGCAGTATCATATCATCTTGTATTCCATACTTTTCTCTAAACGCTGGCTTTTTCTGAAGGTCTACTAATGCTGCATAATCATCAGGAGAATCTGACGGAACGCTAGTCACAATTCCAGTACCTTTATCCTCTTTTATAGTTAACATTGGCAGTGAATAAATTTTTGGATAGCAAGTCAATGGCGATTTTAATGCGATTCCCAATAAATCTTGTCCTAGAATCTCCATTTCTATCTTGAACTCTCCATCTTTTTCTGTAAAACCTTGGTAGGACATATTCCTGGCCGCACGTTTTGTACATATAAATACACCATCGTTCACAGTTTCGAATGCTATATATCTGATATCAGGGTGAACCCAACAATTGGTTTGACCATACATAGTTTCAGGCCTAAGTGTAGCGGCAACAAAACTCACATTTTTGTCTCCAAATGACCTAAAACACACATGCCAGAGACCCTTAGAATCAATTAGTAACTAATATTTAGACAATAACATCAAAATATTACGAATAAAAGCTCCGAGAGCTACATAATAGTTGTTTGATATCTTGCTTCCTAAAAGTGTTATGTTTTTGTTATTACTTACTTTAATACTTCTGGAAGAGGTTTAACAACCTCAAGTTTGATCAGAGTGTACTCTTGGGGTCCGGCACCCTCACCCGTGCTGCGATCATGGTCCATACAAGGTTGCTTATCCAATGGTGAGAATATTGTATACCGTTTACCATACATAATCTTCTTACGCTCTTTAAGAAGCCAAAATTGCCACCTTACAAATGAATCATAGAATGGATTAGCATCAGTTGTAATGAATTTTCTCCTCCAATCTACCTGTAGCATAAAGGTACATTATTTTCAATGGATTATTAATAATTATTTTTGAAATATCTCTTATATATACTATTGTCTGATGTTCAGGAAAATACAAACCATTTTGATTTCTGAATTTAGTACTTATGTCATTTACAATTTAACTACAACATATTTTGAACGGAGCATTTTTGAATTTTTTTATTTGGAGCGTCGGTGGCTCAGTGGTTTAAGCACTTGACTTGTAATCTACAGGTCTTGGGTTCGAATCCCGCCGCCATGTACCAATGTGATTTTCGATTTTTCGAATTTTCATATGTACATAATTTACCCGACGTTCTTACGGTGAAGGAAAACATCGTGATGCAACCTGCACATATCCGCGAAGAAATTCAAAGATATGTGTGAAGTCAACCAACCCGCACTTGGCCAGCGTGGTTGACTATGGCCTAGTCACCCTAACATTAGGGTAGGCTCCGAGCCCCTCGGTGGGGACATATAGTGAGCTGGTGATGATGATGATGATGATATTTTGAACTGGCTTGTGTAAAAAATAGATTTAAGTATTGGTAAGAATGTTACTGCATAAAAAACATGTATTGACTTACATGAATGCCCATTCTTTTTAAATCAGTAACTGCCCGAGGTGGGAAATATTCCAGCCAATAGCTTTCATTTGCAAATTCTTTAATTTCATCTTCCGGTATACCTAAACTTTGCATTATCTGCCACTGAAACTTAGCAGCTCCTGTCTTAGCAACCGCCTTACTTTTCTTTCCTTTACTTTTGTCTTTAGGAACAATGTCACTGTCATCTTTTGAGACTGTTTCCTGATCATCAGGAAATACAGGTGGGCAACCATATGTAGCCATTTCCCGTTTCAACTTATCTGCACATGCCTTTATTGGCATCCCAGTACAATGGAAACCAAATGGAAAGAGCACCATTCTACCTTTAAGACGGTAATATCTTGTTGCAAACTAAAATATTAACAATGTAACATGATTAAATCAATAAAAAATATAGTTATAAAAAGTTAAACAGTTTTTAACCTCGCACTTAGAGAGTGAGAATGTGTGTCCCAAATGCAATCTTCCATTCATGTAGGGATAAGGAAAAGTACACATAAATTTTTCATGATCTTTCCCATCAGTGGGAGTCTCCATTTCAAATATCTTCTCTTCTTCCCAACGCTTTTGGACATCCTTCTCAATCTCCTGCAGATATTCAACCTTGAAGGTTCCTTTCCGGTCTATGGTTGTCTAAAAATTGAAATTCGGCATTACAAAACAAAACACTTTTACAAGCGGAAATGGAACGTGATGATATATACAAACAATACAAGAATAGGTAAGAAAATTGTAATAGTATTAAATTATATGAAGTGTCGATTCCATTTAAATATGTAACAAAGATATAATTTGTAAAATTTTACGGTGCACATTTTACTACCAATCTTTTTCGTGTACAATCATGCAAGTACGAAGAGTTAGTGTGTAACTGAATCACTCACCATTTTTGGTTACTTTTGATACTAGTGATTTTTAGATTTCTACTTTTTTCTTATACCTAAAGCTGAAATTCAAACATGTGTCCAAAAATCCGTGCCACATCAAGTGTCATGTCAACTGTCAACTGCTGTCAACTGTCAAATAGAGACAATTCGTTCATCAACATTTTGTACGTGAAATCTTAATATGTTTTGATTTGCATCATTCTAGGAAGTTTATGTACTAAACATTATATTCTTTATAACAAAAGCAATTTAAACGTAAAGTAAAAATTTAACATGACTTTGAAGACTTAATAAATAATAATTTTCAATCAAGAATTTCGTGGACCCTAGGTCGTTGTTTTTTGTGCCTCAATCTGTTTGAAAAAGTCAAGTACAAAAAAATTGGCGCCATCAGCGACGCTTGTCATTGTCATTTTACCGGAAACTTCGTTCGCCACCCATTTTTGAAGACGCGTTAGCTGTGAGCGTATGTTTAAAATTAAGTGAATTCATCATAAGTTTTAGTTTGTTAAAATGGCGCCAAGATCTGCTAAAGGCAAGGTATGTTTAAATTCACTATAAACCTTAGTAAAGCCTCAAAAATTGGCATGTACTTTTAGCTTATGTGGTACGTATTTGTTTCATTTTACATTTATCTTTTGGTTTATTTGAGTTCCTTTCGGTCAATCTTAACTATGAATGTAATGTAATCGAAAAAAAAAAACATGATTATTTATTGTGTATGATATGTGAAAACATTGTTGACAACGGCGCATTTGATTTACCGCGTGCTTGTCTTGAGTTTAATATAAGCTTAATATATTCATATTACTTTATAATGGTTTGTGAAAAATGGCGAGTTAGATAAAAAAAAACTTATGTGAGGAGAAGATATTTGTATGCTACTAGTACCAGTAGTATTGAAAAAATAACGTATCTTACTACGACGTTATACTGGAAGAGTTGTAAAACTCGTATTTAAATGTCAAAGTATAGAACGAAACAAAAAGTTCACTATAGCTTATAATTAAGGTTATTGTTTTTGTGTTTTATATATTATTTCATATATGATAAATGTATTTCTCTTGTGTAATCATGTGGTTGAATTTTGTTATTGCATTTATAATTTATAAGGAGCTTAAACAATAGGTATAAAGTCTTTCTGATGCTGTTATTTTGTGTTTCAACATGCTTATCAGAATGTAAACATGTCTGGTTGTGTTGCCATGAACTTTAATACAGCTCCATACTTCATCATTTAAGAATACCTGATTGTTATGAAGATATTGAAGCCTTACTTGGTATGCCTTTGTGTTAGTATTTTACACCTGATAAAAATATCAGGAAAAACTATACAACAGCCAGCATCAAAGTTAAAAAATATGATTTAATTCATACTATGAATGAAAATTTTTAGATTTTATGCCTTTGCATTTAGGAAAATAATTAATTTCCTAACCTCAATATCTATATGTACTTAAATTATAGTGTGTCCTACATGTGTTGCAAGATATTTAACTTCAAGTAATTTCTTAGGAAATTGAAAACTAGTAAATACAAAAAGAATTTTGTATGCTATTAACTTAACTTTCAGAAAGCTGCAGATGTTAAGGTTGCAGATACTGCTCCAGCAAAGAAAGGTCGCAAAGGGAAACAAGTAGCTGAGCCAGAACCAACTGAGGCTGAGGATGTAAAGGCAACGGTTGTAGAAAAAAAGACAAAACGTGGGAAGAAAGCAACTGAAGAAATAAACGGTGACAATGAAGAGGCATATCCTCCATCTAAAAAGAGCAAAAAGAAGATTTCAGAAGAAAAGGCAGATGAGCAGTCAAATGGTGACAATTCATCTCCTGAAGAGGAACAAAATCCAGATGAACAAAGTGAACCTGGAGATGATGATGAAACAAACGGACATACAGAAGAGGCAAAACCTGCAGGTGGGAGGGGACGTAAGAAACAAACCAAAAAGGAAACTGTACCAGAAAGTAAACCTAAGGAAACAGGAAGGGGGAGGAAAAATGCAAAACAAGAGGTTCAAGAGGATGCAGCGGAAAAACCAGAAGTTGCAGAAGAAAAGCCAAAGCCCAGTGGAAGAGGTAGGGGCAAAAAGGCTCAGGCAAAGCCAAGCAATGATTTAGAAGATGAAGATAAAGCTGAAACTGTGGAAGAGGCGGTCAAACCAGAGCCGCCTGCAAAAGGTAAAAAGAAGCAGACAAAGGGAAGCAAAGAGAAAATAGAGACTGATACTGCACTATCAGATCAGGAAATGGAAGAAGAGGACATTGTAGAAGAAGAACCGAAAAAGAAAGAAACCAAAGGTCGGAAAAACCAGGGTAAAAAAGCACAGCCTAAGGAACAAGAGGACAAGGTTGAGGATGTAGCAGAAGAAACACAGACAACTAAGAAACGTCGAGGAGCTAAAAAAGACGACAAGAGTAAAGGTATGTCTACTTTTTTTTTTCCTACAAGTTACATTAGACATATTTAGATAGATTGTAAATATTACCTTGGGCCTGCCAAGAGGATAATCTAGGATTGTAAAATTTTCTATCCAAAGGGAATACTTATTAATTCATGGTCCTTATTAATCATTTTCATGAATAACAAAGTTTTTGAGTTAACTATGTGAATCGATAGAAATTGATAGCATTTTAGTATTTTAAATATGAAACCAGTATTAAGGAACAAACTAGTTGCCCATATGGAAATATTAAACTATATTTAATTTGCAGATTCCAAAGAAGAGGAAGAAGTAGAAGAAAAAGCTCCAGAAGCTAAACCAGCTAAAGGTAAAAGAGGTGCAAAAAATGCGGCCACGAAGGCGGCTGAAGCAGAACAAGATATACAAGACACTGGTGAATCCAACAATAAACGGCGGCGTAAGGCCGCTGACGATAAGGGTAACTAGCTTTGTTAATTAAAATTGGAGATGTGGACATTGTTTCTTTATTATAATTGTGAATTATGATTAATAAAATAATTTACCAAATGGCTTTGCTGGACTTTATTTAACTTTCCTATTTATGTACTGCATGTTAGATCTTCAGGTAGAATGTTTTAGTGGGAATATAGTTGCTATTGGATACTTGATATAACTAACAAGTTAGCATAGTACTTTATCGCCTGCATAGATTGCTTATAAATATTTATTATTTTTATAAAGTACATAATAAATCAGTTTCTAGATAACGACATTATTATTGGAATGTAAAATTCTTTCCAATGTTAACATGTAATAAAATCGAGATACCCTTTTATAAGTGCCAACATTAATGGGTCAATGAATTTTTGATAAAATATGAATCTAAATAACTAGTAATTTGTTAAAAAAAAACAATAAATCTTACTTCCTTTTAGTTCTGGGGGAGATTACTAATACTTCGCCCCAACCCATTTCATATCGGTCTTGTTGTTTAGGATTCTTTTAGCAAAAGAATATACTTGACCCTGAAAATTTTTTCTATTCTGTTATAGGGCAAAAACATTTCAGTTTACAAAATATACATAAAGCTCCAAGTACAAAGCATGAGCTTGCGACGCTGGTTCAAGTATAATAGTTTTTTTGAGCTTAAAAGTATGAATACATATTTAAATTCTTTGGCATTGTTTTCTATCTAAAAAAACATTTTAATCAAAACGAGTATAGTTATTAAAAACTCGAAAATCCTGTGTATGATTATTTTTATCCTTATTCGTTAAGTTCTCTTAATTTGTGACCCTCGAATACAATAAAAAATCGGGCGGAATAGGTTACTAAGTTAATAAGTTACATTGTTCTACTAAAGAAAATAGGAAAATTAATTGAAATTTTAAATATTGGGCCACTTATGTATGAGAAAGAGATCCCTTACTAATACTCGTGCGGAGAAGCTGCCGGTGGCTACATGACGTCACGCGTTAACTGATCGTACTATACAGAGCGAGCCGCGATCGTTGCTAGTAGGATAGGAGTCACCGGCATACCTCCTGCCCGCGGTTAGTTTAGAAGTTAACGAGGAAAGGCGGCAAAACAGTACTCTTCACATTAAGATATGTGTTATTTCCCCGCTCTCTGCAGGAACACACGTGTCTACTAGCGTTATCATTAGTTGACTATCAAAACATTTTAAATTACAACATCATTTAAGGTCATAAACCGCGTTTTCAGCCGGAGCAGAAGAAGGCAAAAAGAAAGCGCCAGCTAAAAACAAAACAGCCACAAATTACGAAGACATAGACTTTTCCAGTGCTTCCAAAACAAGTCAAGGTAAAGATTGGAATTTCAAAATTTCCAGTTGGAATGTTGACGGCATTCGAGCGTGGATGGACAAAGGTGGTTTAGAATATATACAGCACGAGAAGCCAGATATACTGTGTCTTCAAGAGATAAAATGTTCGAAAGAGAAGTTGCCGGAGTCTATCAAAAACGTACCCGGGTATCATGCGTACTGGTTATGCAGCGAACAAGACGGCTACGCAGGCGTAGGTATTTATACAACAAAACTGGCAATGAACGTACAATATGGGCTACAAGATGAGGATTTAGACAGCGAAGGTCGCATCATAACCGCAGAATACGAGCAGTTCTATTTAATATGTACGTACGTTCCCAACGCCGGTCGAAAGCTGGTAACTTTACCGAAAAGGCTTAAATGGAACGATGAATTCAGGAAACACGTTAAGTCACTAGATAAGAAAAAACCTGTAATTATATGCGGTGATATGAACGTTTCGCACAATGAAATAGGTAAGTCTTCTTCTATAAATACAGACTAGACAGGCACTTTGCAACAATAATGCAATTTATTTATGCATAAATAGATTTTGATGAATAAATTCACTGTACTCTAGTAGCATAAGACTAGATTCTTATCAAACAGTAGATTTAAGACATCATTGAATTTAGTCTTTGAATTATAAGGTGGCAAACAAGCAAGAGGCAACCTAATTAGTCAAAATACCGAAGCCTCCGCTGCCTATAGACATCGGCACGTCTATTCGACAAAGGAGGGGACGCACTGAACGATGATAATTCCCGTTCCAAAGCGTTCCCTTCGTCAAATAAATTTCCCTTGCCCATCCTTTTCCTATAAGAAAATGGCGAGTAAGAGCAAGGGGACCACAGTTATAGTATCTTGCACGGACACTTTTAAAAACGTCAAATTGAGTCGACACTTTCATGCAACAGATGTTGCTGAGGTCAACTAAGACACATTTCTAGTTTGTAGTAAATTGAAAATGTTCTAATTTTATTTAAATATTTTTTCCAGATCTTGCGAACCCTAAAACAAACAGAAAGAACGCTGGCTTCACGGACGAGGAGCGCGCGGGCATGAGTGACTTGCTGGGTGACGGGTTCGTAGACACGTTTCGGCTGTTATACCCGGACAAGACGAGCGCGTACACATTCTGGACTTACATGTTCAACTGTCGAGCTAAAAATGTTGGATGGTAAATATTCCTTACTTACAATAAGATAATTTTTTTGTAAAATCGTGGAAAAACAGCAAGAAAAGAGGTTCCTAAAGTGGGGAACTTTCTTCAGATTTGTTTCAATAAAACAGATTTGAACAATATACTCAAAACTAGATACTATGATTTAAAACTCATTAACAGAATTAGAGTACTTAAAGTTGACTAAGGATTGTGTCAAAGAAGCATTATCTAATTTTAGAGTTTAATGATTTTTTCTTTCAGGCGTTTGGACTATTTCATCATGTCGGAGAGATTAGTGACATCAGTTTGTGACAGCATTATTAGAGACTCAGTGTATGGAAGTGACCACTGCCCTGTTACCTTACTCCTACATCTGACCAGCGCAGACAAGCCTAAAGAATAAATTGGACTTTTTAAAACCACTGGACTGAGCAATTTCGAAATTGATATTTTTTATGTTTCTTGCGCCTATAAGAAATAAAAGACTTTGGTACAAATTGTTTTTTTTTATTACATAAATATCTCATAGTTTTAAATGACCTGCATCAAGAATAAATAAGGTATAAGGCACAAGTCCAATAAAAGTTAAATAAAAAAAAATTAAATGGATTTATATTCTTATGATTATTTTCAAAAAACTGACATATTTGGCCCTTTTCTTCGATGTTTCAAATGTACCTGAAAGGATAATAATAATGTTTATTCATTTTTAAGTAAAAACCACAATAAATTACGAATATAGAATTCCTGACACTGCTTGTCACCATTCAGATATCCATATTAAGACTACAATACAAACACATGAAAAAATATATGTAATTATTCAAAATTTATGAAAAACAATATTTACCTTAATAATTTTAGCAAATGCATCTCTTTTCAACAAAGAATATACAGTAGACAGACTGGATGCTGCATTAGATTGTAACTCTTTCAGACCGGAGCAGAACAAATCAATACCAATCTCCAATCCGGTACCAAAATCACATTCATCCACTGCAATAGTGGCATATGTTATCACTGGCTGTAATTGTGACAGTACTTCATCCTTTTCTTTTTGTGATGAACATGCTTCTAATTCAGTAAACATTTTCCTTAGCTTTGCTGTAATAAATAAAGAACTCTCTTTAATATTATACTTTACCAATTAGTACATAGCATATGTGTACTTCCAGACTATCTTCATTGAGATCTGTCAAGTCATTTTGGAGATTGTAGGAAAAAACATCCCTCCATCCATCCAAACTTTCACATTTATAGTATGAAAAGTATATGATTCTGAAAAGTAAGTTGAAGCAAGCAGAATAAAAGGGCTCTTGGTATTTATTATAATTTTCCGAATTATACAAAAACCTTTATTTTAAAATATTCCTTTAACAGTATTATAAGTGCTTAACACATTGAATGATATTTGTATAAAGTGTTAACCATTTGAACATGAAAAATTCATATTTTTACCATTGCTTTCAACCAGTGGCCTGTATCCTAATTCAGTTTTCTTGTTAAAAGGTACAACAATTCCAGCACCGTGCAATGTCTTGGTTACTGGCAATCTTTTCTTTCTGTCATATTCATCTAGTGAATAATTATTCTCACTAGCCCATTTTTTTATTTTATCCATTAGTTTTTGACATGGTAAACTTAAGAATGGGGATGTCTTTTTCTCATTTTGCAAATAGTTACTGTGAACAATACAAATGATATAAGTAGTTCAAAGTAGCAAATACATTGAAGTTTAGGATTGTCTGTCAAGAAAAAATCAAGTTGAATGATGTTAAGAATACCCCTATTAGGTTGATATCATTATACAAACTTCAAGAGTGGGATAAGGTTCAACTATCTTTAAACAGCATAAAAATCAAACTTACTAAACAGCTGCAAAAATATTGTCGGCCAGTGGTTGTATAAGGCAATCCTTTCCACTATCATTGCTCGCAACAAATACTGGCTTACTCTCAGGATCATCTCTGTAGTAACCTATATGAAATTCACTTTTCCCTTTCTTCTTTAAAACTGCCTAAAAATAAATCTACAAAATTTAATAAGTAAAACTTTGGAGTACAGAGCTCACTTGATTGTAAACCACACTAATGAAACAAGTTAAAGTTAATACGTTAATTAAGAAAACCACTAAATACAGCATATAAAAAATCTATTAAAATAATCTTCAGCCTTTATCAACTACTAGACTTAGGTTTTATTTAATGTGCTACAGTATGCGGCCTCTACACACCAAATCTACTTTTCTATGACAATAATGCTATACAATGATTGTAAACAGTTTACCTGAAACTCTGGAGGATCAAAGAAAAATCGCCAATGAACTAAGTACAGTTCTTTGTCATCTAAAATAGGAAGTTTACCTAACAATAAATCGTATGGACCAATCAATTGCAAGTTCACATTAGCTAAAGTCTTTTCTACAGATTTTTCCTCACTCAAACATTTGTAAAACTGGAAGAAATCCGGAGGCATCTCAACAAGGAATAATTCACTGTACAACTTATTATCTTCAGATTTATCATAAAGCTGTGAATTTTCAGTTAAGGTCACTAAAGGTAAATCTTTGTATGTATCTTCCTTTTTTTGATCAGTAGTCGTTGTCACGGAAATATCATCCTCAGGTTTTTTGCCATCGCTTGAACTTGCGTGAGTAGTTGAAGCCGAAACTTCTGTTCCTTTTGTAAATGTATTTTTATTTCTTGCGTATGGAGAATTTCGCGCTTTACCACGTTTATTTTTATTAAATTTCTTTAAATCATCTATTGGCGGGTGTTTGTAAGATCTATGGTGCTCTGGGTTTTTCTGATAGCATTTCGCGCCATACTTGCAAGGTGTTCTTGGATCATTAGCGTAACTTAAGGGTCCTTCGGACATTGTTCTAAATTCTAATAATCTGGAATAAACTTATAAACAAAGACCCTAAAAAAAGACGGTATAAACAAAGACGGTAATGTAAAGTGATTTGTAAATATTACACAAATGTCACTGAAGAGATGTAATGGCAATGTCTATGGCCAGGTCCCAACCAAATTCTTGCCAGTTGTAAGTTCTTAATTTTTGTAACAAAATGGGAGAAAGAAGAAAAACATTTTCTAGACCACTTATATCTAAAACAATTAATTTGTTCTTTTCGTTATCCATCCTGGAAAATATCCTTCATATTTCGATATCAAAGATAACCACCGCATAAATACAATACAAACTACGTTAAATCGTATCTTTTTATCGGAAATGTTTTCAGACAAAAGTGAGTTGTATTGGTTTTGGTAAATACAGAATAATAATCAAAAGTAAAAATCCTACCATTATGACATTTTTTTACAATTTTCATCTCTGGTTAATGATATCAGTAAAATGAAATGAATCAGTATCAGTGTCACTGGTTATAGGTGGTGGTTGGTGGTGGTTCTGAAATATTTGATATAGTGATGGCGCAAGGATGTGTTTTTAACAATTAACGTGATATTAATAGCAATAAGGACAGCACTGAATTTATTTAGGGTAATTTAAATACTTGAGACTGAAAATTTTCCAAAAATATTCCCAGTTAAAATGTACAAAGTGTATAAAATTTAAATTCTCGATATTGGATTCCGATTTCTGAAAATGTAGAGTGATGTGGTTTTCTATTATTTCAATGAATGGGTGTTTAAAATATTATAACATTATACCAAGGACATGTACATAATAAGTAATCGTCACTCAAGGCATTTGTCGATTTCTTCGAGCTTAGGATTATGGACTTCAAGTGGTAAATATTTTATATTATATTTTGGTACCATTCACATACTACGCTCCTTCTGAATTTATCAATGTCTGGAAACTGTTTTTTTTTTACAATGGACATACAGTTCATGAATTACTCATCTTATACCTTTACTGAAATAAACCTAAAATATGGGTTAGTTTTAAAGTTGCAGAAGTCCAACCAACCTTCAACCTTTTTGGCCCAACAATTTCACCTAAATATTTTTTTTTACCACATAGGTAAAGCTACTGTACCATTTGAAACCTATTTCTTTGCATTTACAATGTAGATTGTGGTGATGTGTTAGCAAATGCTAGATTAAAACTCCTCGGCTCTTGCTGCATTACTAAGACATGCAATGGTATAGAGAAGTGGTGTTTCTGTAAAAGGGAATGCACTACAACGGAAAATACCCTCTTTCTGTTAGTTTTCTTTATGGATTACAAGCAGGAAATGCATTTTCTCACGAGGATGACAAGTGGACATTTCACTATTTTTTGACATTATCACTTTACAGTAGATGGGATTGTAGTTAAGCATTAATTTATTAATTGAATAAGAACTGATTTAATTTTATAAAATTCTAGTATAAGTAGATGTGTTATGTATTTTTGTGGTCCATTTTGTTCACTTACGCTTTTGTTACAATTTATATAGCACATATGTAAAGATTTTATAAAAGTGAAACTTTTGAATTGTGACTTGATTGTAGCATAGTAGGTTTTATCTTCACTGTGTTACCAGTTGACACACATGATTGTAAGCCCATATTAATGTTTTTGTATTGCCTAAAAACAAGGCCTAGAACATTTTAGTTTAATGTTGTACACAAAATATAAATCTTAAGCAATCGGTATAAAATATGTAGACAGCAGTCTGTATACCGATTAGTGTAGCATTGCTTGTTAATAAGAAGTATGTTGACATAAAAATGATACAATGATTTTAAACATTACTATTTATATTTGAGCAATGTCAAAAGTCAATGGATTCAGAATTACATATAAAAAGTTTAATTGTAAGCAGAATAATATTTCAAAATGATATATACCGGGCATGAAGCCTTTGTTCTTCCTATTTATATGCATGAAACTGCTTTTAGCCTTGAAGTTATGTGTGGCTCAGACAGTGATCGGAAATATTTCTTTGTGGCTGTTAAACACATTGGCATCTTCCTTAGTTTAATCTCTCGACTTTTATTGGCTAGTTGGACTGTTTATTGGACTTGAAATACGATTGAGCTGTCTTCGATCATCTGTGGAACGAATGAGACAGATCGACGTTTGTTTGATATGTCGTGGAGCTGCGAATAAAGTTACGGGGTAAAAATAACGACCCATCACTAGTTGGGGTATACAGTATGTCTGAGGCGTAACCGTACAACATACAATATGTAGGCAGTGATCCCTTGTTGTTCCTTTGCAAACTGTATTATCTGCGTATCTATATTTAGTTTCATTGTTTGATGCGATATCAACCAGATGCATTACGTCGTAGCATCGTGAAAACAAGATTTATTTTATCGTGATTATCCTTGATTGCGTTTGCGTTATACCTTCTTTACTTTTGTATGTTCTTCTATTCTTCTGGAGCATCATTATGATGATAAAATTTAATAATTATGTGAAGAGTGATTATGTGAAGAGTTGATGATGATGCTATAATTGTAGTATATGTATATCTACTATAGGTAAATATGTCGGGTTTGTTTAGCAATATGCCAATACTATAGAAGAGGTATCTCTTATCCGTCTCGAAAGCACTCTTGTCATAATACTTAAATGTTTATGTTAATAATGCAAAATAATAAGCTAAGATAATATCGCGTGATATCACGTACGAAGCCACGAAGCTTTTTAAATTAATAACAACATTTTTAGAAATACGAAAAGTCGCATATTTAGTTTTGGGCAACTTTAACAAAAAGAGAGAACAGAAAAGAACTCCCCGAAAACGCGTACGTATTTGTATCAGAAGGATATTGTTTCGAAATATGGAAATTTTAAACAAAACAATGTGCCGATAGGATTTAATTTTCCAACACAGCCTGTGTTTTCATTTCAGCTTACTCTTTCATTCAAAGAAATCGACATCGAGAATAAAGAAGTACAAAATAGATGTGTTCCAGTTGTGTCCACTCTGAATTGTCTTGTTGCTTTTCATAAGCCCCTACCTTCTTTTCTTTTAAGTCACTCTTCAGCACTTAAAGTACAATAAAACCTATAAATAAATATGATCAATCGTGCCCAAGTAACTAGGTAATTTTTTAACAATGATTGCCCTAATTCTGATACGTTTAGATTGGAAATTTGCCCGTATGTCGATCGATTACTTCAAAGCTATGTAAATATAGACAATATTGTTTTAGCTCCGTGAGGCAGTCTATGGATTTTAGGGACTCGGAGGTTATTAAACGTGATGATTAACGAAAAAGAATAATTTGGGTCAACGTCGGAAAATTGGTGCAGATAACCTAAATGGTCTTTATTTTTAGCCAGCTCTAATTAGTACTACCATTTAAATATGTTTCAACTATTCGTCACAAATTATTATCGACAGAAATTAGTAATAAGGGCTTTACGAATTTTTAGCAAAACAAGTTTTAATTGGGTTAGCATAATTGTTAAGATATATGAAGTTAGATACTGGTTTTTGTTATAGTAAAGGAAATCGGATTAATTACCGAGGGTCTATAAAGTTTTTATGACTCATATAAAGAGATGTTTTATCAATAATGAACAGAAATAGTAAACTAATGGAAAAACTGCTTTCGTTATATGTAATTTTTATGTTAACAAGAACATGGCGCTTGATATTATCAAATTTTAGTACCCATCTATCGATTATTTTATCCAAAGTTATTTTTAACAATTAGTATAAGGACATCGTACAAGTGACCCTGATTTGCGAAAGGGGCCGTGAAATGTTGCCTCAGACCGTCGCATTTGATGTGTTAATTTACGAGTGTTTACAATAAATAATTATACGTGTATTGTTCTGCCGGAACGTCAGCTTGGTATAGTTTTTATGAAATCTAGACTACTAGTTTATTCTATAACAAGCTGTTGCTCGCGACTTCGTCAGCGCGTAATTAAAAAATATAGCCTATGGTACTCACAGATAAATTACCTTAATATCGGTGAAATGTTTTTTTTAAATCCGTTCAGTAGTTTTTGAGTTATTTCATACATATAAAAATACAAATGTTTCCTCTTTAAAATATTGTATAGATAACTTTTTATTTTAAATTCAAATGTATCTCGTCATTTTAAGTATACGAATTACTTTCTACGATTGTTAGCTCAAATAAAACAATATTAGCGCACTGAGACATGAAAAATTAATAAATAAAGCTCTTTAAATACATATTTAATTAGGCTCGCTTTGACTCTGTATTGAAGAAGAGCGTCGACCTTCTGCCTTGTAAATTAAAACTGTAATGGATTCTTAAACAAAATTGCCAACACAATTTTTATTCTATTAGTGAATGTTTTGATAGTTAAATGTATCACTTGTAGCACTCGTGTGATTACTTTTTGTTTTATATACATTGCAAGGATGGAAAGAAGAACTGGATTTGACGGTGGAGCAGGGAAATAACCCCTTTATGTATGCCTTCTTTTCCGTCGATTAGGGATAGGCAACGCATCTGCAATTGCAGATGTCTATGGGCATCAATTGCTTCCCTTTTTTTCCCAGTCTAAGTGGCCCCGTTTGCCACCTTATATAAAAAAAAATGGATATTGTAAATGTAACCTTTGTACAATCCGAATTTTCTATAACAAATTCGGATTTTGTGTAAATGTCACATTATGATGCGCAAAATACTAAAAAATACAAATATTCATTGTATTTTGTCTAAGTTACATTATATTACATAAAATATTGACCAATAGTGTCCAGTTGAAAAACAATGTCATATTTACAACTCCGACAATTTTCTGTCGTAGTTTCGCATTGGCTTGTATTGTGCCTCATTTATGTTCTACAACTGTAACATGTTCCATGAGATAGTTTCATATAGAAGTGGAAACATTTTTTTGAATACACATTTAAAAATATACCTATAAAGCAAATATCACATTAGAACTTATTAAAATAATACCTACATAAGTGCGAAAACTTTGCCCCTTTTGTCAGGCAGTGCAAATAGACCTTAAAACAATTTATTCAGTTCTCCAGATGTTTTGTACGTATAAAAAATACATTTATTCAATCGTAAATGCCCATTGAATACTTGTTATTTTTAAACGCGTCAGGGAAGAAGTATGATATGCGCCTGACGTGATGTTTGGACGACGATGACACTGCAAGACTTTTTGTTTGTGTTTGCATACCGGATAAAAATGTATTGAAATAATTTTTGGACTACTAAAATATCATAATATTACTTAAGAATAAATATAACTTTTAAGAATTACTTTTTTATGCAATCCAAAAATAAAGGGCAGTGACAGCAGCGGTGGTGGCGCGGCCCAGATACGTCGCCGCGAGCGCTCAGCCGCACCTGGAGAACGGAAATCGTCTCGCGACAACATTGTTGTTCGCGCTTCCACCCACTGCAATACTGTAGAATTAAATATACCGCATAAGTTAGATATCGATTTGTATTGAACATTTTTCTCTCGTATTTCAGTAAGTTTCAATCGACACATCGCAAAAAGCAACGCCGACAGATCGATGCTTATCATAACGGCCTAGTTTTATCTAGCTCCCGCCCGCGTCATATTTCATTTAGCGAGTGCGATAAAAGTTTGTATTAAAATGTTTTATGTTTCCACAGGCGATGAGCACTTGACCACGCGATGGAGAATAGAGAAGGATGGAGCGGCGAGGCGGGCGCGGCCTACAATGGCACGGACCGGGCACAGGCCGAGCGGGACCGTGTGCGCATCGAGTTCTACGCCACGTACGACGTCATGACGGGCGTGCGCATAGCCGCCACGCTGGGCGGCTTCTTCGCGCTCATGGTTTTCCTAATCGTTTACAAGAGCCGGAGCAAATCCGTGAAGGCACTGAACGATCCTAAGATAGTAGAGCTCGCGGAGGCAGTGGTGGCCGAGGAGCAGGCAGTGGAGGAGGAGCGACAGCTGACGATTGCGCTCGAAGAAGCGCTGTGTGAGCGCGCGCGCTCGCGGCCCTCCATCGGCGAGGAGCCATGGCCGCCCTGGCCGCGACGAGGGCGCTTCGCCTCCTACGGCGGCGGCTACGGCAGTCTGCTGACGCCGCCGCGCCGTCTATCCGGCCTGCGAGGCGACTCACTGCCGAGCTCGGCATTGCGCGTGGCAGAGAGACGTGCGTCGGCGGCGTGCGCCCGCGATCGCCGCCTCAGTTCGGCTACCTGCTCGAGCTCAGGCAGCTCGTACCTGGAGCGGCGCGGCTCCTCAGTGGTATGCTCGCTACCCGATCGACGGCTGTCGCCGTGCCCCAGCGAGCGTCTGGCGCCGCTGGCGTCCGCGGGCAGTGTCGGTCCGTCGTTCGCGATGGACGCGGACTCAGCATCAGTGGGGCCGGATTCAGTATTCGCGGAGGACGAGGACTCAACGGACGACGAGGTGGAACAGTTCTCGACGGATAGCGGTGGCGGTGGCGGAGAGGGCACGGAGCTGGCCAGCCGGCCGGCGCCACCGCCCCACCCCCGCGCCCGCGCCGCGCTCTCCACAGAGACCCCCTTGTAGGTCCTGCGAATGTTACGTGTTATTGACGTGTTAAAATATCGACTCGATCGAATCTCATCCCGTAGTGTTAGCGACATATCACGAAATTTTAATTCGACATATCATTTTAAAGAGACAAAGATATAGTTATTGGTTACTCATATTTACAAAATTTAAATTAACTATTTATCATTCCAAACAATTTCGGTGAAAAATACCAACGATATGTTTCACCGAAAATATTTACGAGAATTCGATACACATTCGATCGCGATATCGGTCTAATAAACCTAACGATATATTTCGTTACTCTAAAGCTTTAACGTAAACTGGAAGCAACGAGTGCGTCGATATTTTAATATGTGTAGAGCAGAACGTGTGTAAATAGTTTGTTTTGTTAATATTGATGTTTCGCGATGTTGATGTTTCAGACCGTGATAAGATTTATTTGTAGGTGCATCGTGTACGCGGTATGGGATTGTTGGGCTTCGTGAGATTTATTAGCTAAACTGTTCTTTTATTCCACCTTCTCGGCTAAACTACGTCGTTATTGCCTCGGCTCGGTGACGATATTTCCTTTCCCCGTAGTGAACCTTAGGGATGTTATATATAGAGTGTAATAAGAAATAAAACCTTGAGTCGTCCTAAAGTAGATAAGAATGTAATGTCTGTCTAAGCGCACATGCTATATTATAAGTAACGGCATTTTTTACGTTCCTCTCGTAACTAATTCAAGCGTTCGACTGCTCTATCTATAATATCTCAATGGGTGTAGCGCTCCAGGCTCACCGGATATATTTATTCCTTGTTTACAGCTAATCGGTACGTGAGTGCGGCGGTAGTTCCGCCTTCATATTTCACCGTTTAGTGTTCTTTTTTAAAATACTGGGTAATAGAAAGATCTACCGAATTAGAACTTTTATAGGCACATAAGTACATAATAATTAGGACATTATAGTATCTGTATCTTAAAATTTTTACTCATGTACATAAATGAAATAATATTTTTACGATACACCTAACCGATCGCCTAATAATTTATAATGATCGAATTGTAACAAACGAAACTATAGTTTACTAACTCTGCTTATTTTATGCTTTACCTAGCATTTCTGTAACTTTTTTTAAAGGTGAGTACAAACCAGTGTAATACGATGTAACAGTTGTTGACTATTTACGGTATTTGTTTTGTCGGAAAAATGTTTGCTTACAAAAGCCTTTTAATTAGACTTACCGTGTAGATAACTTGTTCCGAATACTTTAGTTTGTACACAGCTTTATATCTACAATAGAGTAGTAGATGATACCGGTCCAGGAGACTTGTAGTATTTGTATCGCGCTTTTTGTATATGTGTTTCTGCTAACAATAATAGAACAGTCTATTTCTTTGTATTTGACTAATGTCCGGTTTCTGAATTAATCATCAATTTTAAGTGGATTTTTTAGGATCATTTAGCACCGCCCGTTTGTAATTAATCTGGAAATTATAACCTTAAAAATAAGTTGACAAAACTTTTACTTTTATTACAGTTCTAATAGTGTTTCAGAAACCGAGCGTAAGTTTTTGATAGTTGATTTTGTCAGTTTCCTTATGTCATTCAGTCATGTGTGATAGCAACCTAGTCAATTTTTTTTTACATTTATAACTCATAGACCAAAAATTATTTTTTAGTTTGAATATTTATATCTTAATTTGTACTGTTGTTCGTTTTGTATTATATTTATTTTATGAAAATGTTGACAGTTAATAAATTAGTATTATGAATGTTGCCAAAGAAATGTGTTTTCTAGTCTGTGAGAATTAAAAAAATAAGTAAAAGGAATTGGTGAAAATGTTACTTACAGTTTTCTGTGTAATAGTTACGGGTTCAACCAACTGTATTTTATCCGTTGCTGGAATTTGTTATTAAAAGTATCGACTATTTTGTAAAAATCATAAGCAATATACTTAGTGGTACAATTATTTTTTTTTCTTTTCGCACAATCCGTATAGTCTGAAAAAAAAAACTGCAGGTCAAAGAGCTAACGCAACAGTCTGCGCGTCGAATTGTTTTTGTTGACGGTTTTTCAAACGACAATGACCACTCAGTCAAAGTTTTCCACTCTGAACTAACGAAGCTTTCTCAAAACAAGTGCTATCGCAAAGTTTGCCGACTCCATGGTTTTGTACGATGTAGATAGTGCTAACTCTATAGAGTAGATGTCGGTCAAGTCAATTTGAAAATTAGTTTTAAATATATGTGTAGAGTTGTTTGCCATCTACTCAACATTTGTAAAGGCACACTATACCTTTACATCCTTCGAACAATAAAAAAAATATGGAGCGCTAGCCAGAGGCGGCCTAAAACGTTATTCGAAGTCACTCTCCAATGAAACTGCCACTGTTCTTGTTTAGTAAATGTTACACGGACACAGGGATTTTATTGATTCAAGTGTACCGAGCCCGTGTCGCTCGGGCCCCGTAGTAACTGACACAAGTTTTTATTACGATCTAGATTTACGTGTTAGTTTATGTAACTGTTCGTTGCTCGAATTAAAAAGAGCTCCTGGTAGCTTGTAAAATGTTGAAATGTATGTAAAAAAAATTGTAAATATAAAAACCGAATCATCTGTTGTTTCATTTTACAATTCACGAATAATGAGGATTATCCTGGTGTTTTATAATATTGTAAAAAAAATAATGATGATGTCATAAATTAACCGAGACCATACAATTTAATTTTTAATCAGTGTTAGGAACACATAGGTAACATCTCGATTTTAAGATCGATTTTTATTTTTATTACACTGAAGGAGTTATTTCGGTTTTAAAAACAATAATAACACTTACAAAAATAATCTATTAAATAATTTAAAAAAATATATTTTAAGGAATTACAAGTACCTAATCTTTACAAAAGCGTATTGTTGCGCATATATTTTAGATAAAAATACTACTAATTGCACGATGTTCAGTGAGAAAAGTAAACTTTTATGTAAATTATACAAGCGGAATGGAGTTGACCTACGGATGAAAAATAACCGGATTTCGGGATGGACCATGAACATTTTAAGACCCAAATCCTACATCAGGCCTCGGTTTATGCAAAGATCTTATCGCAGATTCGTTAATCAGCATACGTTTTACACGGTACCTACATAAGTGAATGAGATAAGCTTAACACCGCCTTTGTTATCTCGATCAATCATCATCCACTTGCCCTTATCCCTTATGGAGGGTCGGCACAGTATGTGCTGCTCTTCCATACATCTCTATCAGCCGTCATATCTGAATCCACTCCTTTCTTAAGCATATCCTCTTTCACACAATCCATCCATACTTTCTTCGGTCTTCCTCTTCCTTTGTAGCCATCCACATTCAATCTTAACACTTTCTGGTTTATGTCCCCATCATTTCGTCGCATAACATGTCCATACCACGCTAACTTTTTGCTTCTCAATTTCTCCACCACTGGCGCTACTTTCAGTTATCTCGATCAATATCAATCTCAAAATAAAGATTTCACTTTTATGTCGAGTAGTCTCCCTAAAGTTGGGCGTGCTTAGAAAAAGAGTTTTTAAATTTTCCTTTGTACTCCTATCGTTTGATTATTAAGGTAGGGTAGGATTTAAAATTTAAATTGAACTTAAAAGTTGTGGTGAAATGTTTGATTTAAAAAAAACGGCATATATTATGTTGTATTTAATAAAACACGACGACACGTTGTTACTGTAAACATTTTTAATACTAGAGAAGTACCACAAAACGAAATAACTTTTACAACAAGAACCATAGAGTAAGTTTACGAATTGGTTATAGAGTGTAAACACTACACCAAAAGAAAAAAAAATCTAGTTGTCAGACAACTGTCAAATGTCAGAGAAAGTAAAATTCTTTGTGAAGGGGTAGGACATTCCATATTTTAGTCAATTAAATAAAGTAATTATTCCCCTTTGTGCAACAAAAGACAGCAATATGGATGATGACTTACCGACCGATTTCCAGGTCATCGTGGTTGGGACAGGTGAGGCATAATTTACTTTTAAAAAGATACCGGGCGTGATGGCGACTAGCCTACTTTAGTATCGATCTTATTCTTTTTTGCTCGCTTCGTCATGCCATTGTACGTGTCGTATATTTCAGACAATGCGTTTAAACTATACTCTTTTCTAGTTGAATATTATCCTGAAATAGTCCAAAATTTATTTCAAATATCAAAAATTGTATCGACATACCATATGCCTCTACCTCATTAATTATATACATGCAAATAGCGTTATGTTGCAGTCATTGTCACTAAATTTGTAGATAACATATGTCATAATACAAATTGAAATAAAAAAATGAATTGATTCTTATGAAAAAAATTAAGTGATTGACAAATTCTCATTAGAATAATCATCACACTACCATTTAGTATAAAAAACTTAGATCTCTAAAAATGAATCACTAATTTGTGACTCATAAACTCAATATTCTTGTTAAAATTTGAAGAAGTAGTCTTAAAGTTGCAGTGCAATTATTTTTATGTTTAAATGATCAATTAATCCCAATGAAACAGAATCCAATTGGAAGCTGGTTATAACGTTACCTATGGGATTGTGGTCAGCCATTATTATATATAATAAAAAGGTTTGTGAGGCAAGATTACAACATGTTCACTGTTTTACAAGAAGTATTTTCCCATGTTCAAGCGGTAGTTAGTTTTTTCATGCTTGGTACTCTGTATGAAGGTATGGTGGAGTCCATTGTGGCCGCTGCTTGCAGTAGGATACACAAGAATGTCCTCCACCTGGACTCCAGTGACCACTATGGGGGTCTCTGGGCCTCCTACAATTTTGATGGCCTACAGAAGTTCATAAAGGAAGTCAACTCTGATCCAGAGAAGCAAGTTCAAGTTTATAACTTGATGGAGCAGTGGTATATTGAGAAGTGAGTTTATAAGTTTCAATGTTATTTATGACATATTGAGTGTAATATTAAATTAGGTAACTAAAATGAAACTGTTTGTTCCAACTTGTATGAAAACACATTCTCTTCTCTTATATTATTTTTGAAATATTGTGAGGTTAATTAATTTTCATAGTAGTTTTACAGTAATGTAATAATGTTATTATTAAATAAATTGTTTGTAAGTTTTAAAATGTAACCAACTTCTTTTAATCTTAGGGAGTCTCCACCTGAAGAAGAAGGTGAAGCGAAAGAGGATGGTAAAACAGAACCACCAAAGAAGATCTGGAGCCAGGCCAGCTTTGCTGCGGAGTACAGGAAGTTCAACATTGATATGACCCCAAAGGTAAGAACTAGAAAAACACCAAATAAATTACACAAAAACTATTTATTCTAATGGTCATCAGGGTAATATTAAAGTTTCCCATTTTATGCCTACTTGATAAAATTGTAAACTGAATTCTCTTTGTTTGAAACATCAAAATGTGGTGATGATACTCAATGTGAAGTAAATACATGCCTTTTGTAAGGAAATGTTCAATCTTTGAGTAACATAACAAAAAAAAATGTGATTTATAGATTCTGTAGCAAAGAGAACTATTATTTTAGTTTAGTATGACTGGAGTTTATAAGCTAGGTATGGTATTTAGAAATCAGGGAATTCAGTCTCTAATCTGAAGTTACACATACATTATGTGATAAGATTGCAAATGTCAATGCACATATTAGATTAGCAAGCTATGTGATAATCTGAACATGTAGGTTTACTTATATGTTAGTTGACGACTTTTTATTTAAAGCTCCTTTGCCAAGAAATATTTTAACAATTAACTACTGTACAGTTTTATCTTTTAAGACTTAAAACATTTCAATTTACTGTTTCTTTTACAATCAGCAATCTCCATGTAAAAATTAAAAAGATTCTACTGTGAACTTGCGAATCAAATTAACGCTCGAGGTAACCTTATGCCAGGGGTGGTAAACTGATGGCACTTTACTTTGAGCACACCACTAATTACAAAATTAATATGCACTACAAAAAAGTATGAAGTTTATACTTACAAATTTTATAGGTACAAAAATCGCAGAGTAAAAATTATTCGATGGCACATCTACGACCACATAAAACAATTCTTAAAAAAATGGCACGATGATAAAGGTTGCGAACCTCTGTCCTATATAATGTAACCATATAAGAATGCAATCCATGGATCGTTTACACATAAAACTATGTAATCGAGTTTGTAGCTCAATAGTACCTGCAAATATCTCCCAAGTTTTATGTTACATCTGTTTGAAAGTAATATTTACATTGTGCGGTCGACATGTCCGGTCGTTTGATTTCATATATTGATGTTTTGATCGGAAGTGGGCAAAAGTTTACGATGCAAAGTTATTTTGGATCGCTAATATTGTTGCATTTAAATGTTAACACATTCAGTGCTACTGAACTCGTCTAGCGTGTTAACTTTTATACGAAAAAATCATGTTGCATAAGTGTTAAAAATGTAGACGAAGTATTTCAAGTAAAGACTTACTACAAATAGATAAGCTTAAATTTTTCACGATGTTACAGTTTTCAATATTTCATCTTTGTTAGACTTAGTTAATACTTCTGTAGGAAATCTGTGATGACACATCTTCAATTATTTCATTAAAGTGTTAGAAGGAAGTCAAAAATTTGTCCGATTACATTGTTCCGTAGCGAAGTTTTTGAGCTAATGTTATATAGTCAAACGTCTGTGGAATGTTTCGCTTTGTTTTTGCACAGTCCTGCGACGGAACGGCAAAAACAGAACCAATTTCGTCACGGCCGTGTTTTAGTCGACCGTGACTTTATTACTCTTTAACTTTGAGTATATAGTTTGCGAAACTCGTCTGTTTATTCATTTATCATAAAGGAAACCAATATCATAAACAAATGTAAAAATTTTATTCTATTTACAACAGCTAAATGTAGGATCCTGCAGTTGATCTTTATGTTTTTAAATTTAACTCTGCTTATTTTCCACCACAATGGTAGATTTGAAAATATTTACATGTCGGTTATGTCCACGTTATAATAAGTTACAATAAATTATAATGTGGGCGTAAGAGACAAGGACGAGACAAATAAGAAAACTTTTAAAACACATTAAGCTCGGTTGACTCGCATATTTCCCCATTGACCCGGTCCAATCCATATTCAACCGATCCGACACAATTGGAAAAATACTATAATATATATAGCGAAGTGTTTAGGATTCGATGCAGTATCGGCCGCATGGTCTTTAAATATTGAGAGAACCTTAACTGTGTTCTTTATTACCAGTTGCTGTTCTCCCGCGGTCCTCTGGTAGAACTTCTGATATCATCTAACATCGCACGCTATGCGGAGTTCCGTTGCGTGACGCGTGTTCTGACGTGGCTGGATGACCACCTGGTGCCGGTACCCTGCTCCCGAGCTGATGTGTTCGCCACCGAGGCGGTCGGTATCGTGGAGAAGCGCCAGCTGATGAAGATGCTTACTTTGATCGTCGCCTACAATGAGGAGGAAATGAACAATGAATTTAAAGGTAAGTGCTCTCTTAGGATAGTTAACTTTTATGTATTGATTTGTACATAACGATTTTATTTCTTTCAGTGTTTATAGAAATGTTCAGCTTTAGCTTAATTGTATATCGACATTTTTTAAAATAATGATTTCAAGAATTAATTTTCGTATTCGTTCTGAAGAAGTGTATCTCGTATTCGATATTTTAATGTACTTTTTGGCCTTGTAATGTAGTAACGTTGTAATGCAAAATTAGACAATGACAACTTTTTTATATTTCCCCGTGAGTCCGCATAACATCTGTTTGCAGTTTTGATATAAAACATTCGCTGTAAAATGAGAGTTACTATTTTTTCAACAAACGTCCCGGATTTGTTTTTAAATGATAATAAAATGTCTCGTATTGTAGGAGATACGAAAATATATTTTTAAACAACGATGTTACGTTTTTATTACTGCAACATGCAGCTATTTTAAATAAAGTGAACGTGTTTGTTTACATATAAAATAAAGTGAAGTTTATTACTTTTGGTGCATCGAATAAAATGTAACTTTAAATAATAACACGTTAAGGTTGAATGTAAAAGAGAAATCTTTAGTTTTAATCAACAATAGAATAACTGTTAAAGAATGTGTAATAACTTCGGCAAATGGCTTTTTAAAAATAATTTTATAGAATCTTATAAGAAGCTGCCGTGGAATTTATTATTAAACGTATGTTCAACATCTTTTGTTAGGAACTTTATAAATTCCGGATTGAATCTCATGAGAGGCTTAAGCTATAAGTCGAGGAATATAAATGATTAATTGAATTTAGTCTTCTAAATCTATATTACCTATAATTTAGGTTTAGGATTAGTTACAACTATTAAGAAGATATCACCTTTTATTTATTAAAAAAAAGAGTAAATAAACCCCCCTATTGTTATATATTTACAAACCGTTTTATTTAATATAGATTGGAACGACAAGACATTCAAGGAGTACTTAACCCACAAGGGTCTAACGCCAAACCTCATCCATTATGTGCTGTTTGCGATCGCGGGCGGCACTGACGCAATGCCGTGTCTCGAGGGCGTGAGGGAGTGCAAGAAGTTCCTCATGAGCCTCGGCCGCTACGGTAACACGCCCTTCCTCTGGCCCATGTACGGCAGCGGGGAGCTGCCGCAGTGCTTCTGCAGGTAAGTTCAAATACACCCAAAAAAGTAAAAGAATAAAAATTGCAAAAAATGTCTCTAAGATGCTTGTATGTCAATTTTATTGTGATCTATTATGGTCATAGACTAACGGAGATTTTGAGTTTTACCATGATTTGTGAAATACAATAGACACTGTTACGCTTTCAGTTGTACAGTCCAAGAAATGTGGTATATATTAAAAAATAAACATCCTTTAAAAAAATCAAGATGTCAAGTTAATGAAGACACTTCAATCTTTATAGAGTTTGTTGGTTACCTTAATAATAATGAACAAATTGTACATTAATTAAAAAAAGCTTTGCTAACATCTATGCTAATATTATAAAGAGGAAAGATTTGTATGTATTTAAATAACTCAAAAACCACTGGACCGATTTAAAAAATTCTTTCGCCATTAGTTAGCTCCGTTATCGTTGAGTAACATAGGCTATATGTTTAAATTTAACGTGGACGAATCTCGAGCAAAAAATTGTATAATATATCTTTGAAACAGTTGGTCTGTGCAAAATAATTTGCCATGAAAGTGTTCGGAGGAACTCGACAGTTCAACGACCCAGATGTGCATCACGCCGCCGCCGCCGGCCGCACTAAAATAAGAACTTTCTAACTGCACGCGCTGAGGATTCAGATTTCCTAAATTGAAAATTATATAAAAAAAACTTATTAACTTCAGCGTTTCACTGCCCTCGTTCTTTACAAGACTGTAACTCTATGACGTTTAATTTTTACGTTATGTAACATTTACACACACATGATGACTATGAGAATATGTTTTTGGAAATACACAGTTTAGTTAATAGATATTTTTCTCTATATTTCAAATAAAATATATTACAATACTCAATGTATTATAAGCAATCAATATTAATAATATAAATATTAAGTCTGTACCCTAACGAAATTTTAAGGCCTTGTTACCAATTTCAGTTAATAGTTTTCGGTCCAATATACTTTGAACCCGTTTCTCGCAAGAGGTTCCCTTGGGGAGCGAAGTGACCCAAGCGTTTGGTCGTCTCGCAATCTGCTAATTTAATTTTAAGTAAAGGCCCATAACTTCAGTAAACGTATTTGATAATGACGTCGACTAAATTTAGAACGTATTCAACCAATCCAATAGCAATTCGAAGTATAATTTTCTAATGTTAGCACTTACTTTAAAGTTTACAGGGGTGTTTCCCCGTTAGTTAGATCCGCCTGAATTCATAGATCTATAGGAACAAATCACCCACTACCCCTATTTAGTATGAAAAATCCATACTAAAGGACTGTTTTTAATGTTATATTAGGAACTATTACAAACGCTATTAACAGTCTCCTGTCGGTTAAGAGTTATTTCAAAACATATAAAAGAATTTTATGAAGTGAACAGATCACTTTTACATTAATAAATCTAAAGTTCGATCTAAAAGTAGCAAAGGTTGCTTACACAACTGTGAAATCGATTATTATTTATAACATGCTTGGCATTTTCTCTGACACATATTAAATATATACAATGCTGTCTTGTAGTTAATTTTAGACGTTAAAGAATTTAGATCCGCTAGTGTGTTGCGGTACTTGTCAAACAATAGTGTTTTGAAGAATAAAAGTTTTGATAGCTAAATGGCAATATCATCTATCGGCCTGTCGGTAATCGATACAACTTGATGTAATAGACTTTTTTGTCACTTTTGGCTTAAAAAATATGATTATGACAAACAGATTAAAGTATCCCACGTTTCTTTTTAATTTTGTGCAGATTTCTAAGCTTCGATTTATCTACATAGATGTAAGCGTTAGATAACAGGTAATCGATGTTCGCCGCATACCGTATAGTGCAATTCGTGTATGTCGACCCTTACTGTGTTGTATTTCCGTTTTATTAATTTGGTATAGTAATAATGATTTAGTACCCAATTTATAGACTAACTACTTTTCGTCCGAAACTCCGGTCTTCGTGGAATTATAAAGAAACAAAAGCAAGTAGCCTATCTGTGGTTCCAGATAATTGTCTATGTCTATGCCAGATTTCATCGAGATCCGTTTAGCAGTTTATCCTACAAACTAACAAACATCCATCCATCCATACATCTAAACTATAGTATTTATAATATTAGTATGACTATAATATTGGTAATGTATACTTGCAGGTTGTGCGCGGTGTTCGGCGGCGTGTACTGCCTCAACCGGCCCATAGACTCTGTGGAGACGAAGACCGTGGACGAGGGGAAGACCAAGGTGGTCATCGAGAGCAAATCCAAGACCCTCAACTGCGAGCATCTCGTCATCGGGATCAATGAGTGCCCCAAGGTTTGTACACAGCGAATTAATGAAGTTAGTTCCTAGCGCCCTAAAGACAAATCTAACCAATAACTCTTGTGATTTTTTCTAGGATCTGGTATCCCTGGAGTCTACAGAAAGGTGTGACATATCGAAGGCGGTGTTCATCACCAACGGCAGCATAATGAAGAGCGAGAAGGAGCCGCTGACGCTGCTGCGCTTCCCGCCGCTGGTAACGGGCGGCGGCGCGGTCACCGTGCTCGAGGTCGGCCCCGCCACCGGCTCCTGCCCTAAGGGACTGTGTAAGTCACACTAACACCTTACTTAAATACCGGCAACACGTATGCAGTTTACATGGCGAATCGCTGCTTATTTTATATTGAATATGGCTTTGGTTACTGTAAATTAGTGTTGCTTTAACCTTGCTCAAGATTGGTTTGGAGTTAATAATAGGCAGTTTAGTAAGCGCCAACGCCATGGGCGAGGTTCCTATGGCGTTCCCCCTTTTAACCATGCTTTATGGGGGAGATTAACAGTGTAATTCTGTACTTAATCGGTACTCTCGGTCATTAATTTTTCACTTCGGTAGCCCTAGCCCTTTAGTATATATAGTATGAGAATATAAATAAACGAGCTGTTGCCCTATACAAATTGCAAAAAGCTACGTATCCCTCGAGAACTGGGCATTTCTCGGGGATGAAGCTTATCCCATGTGTACTCCAGACTTTGTTTTATATCTGTGCCAAATTTCAATAAGATTTGTTGAACCGTTGCAGAATGATCGAGTAAACAATTAAAAAACTAAATTAATGAATCCCACGAGAACCATAAATATTCCCGGGATAAAAAGTAGCCTATGTGTTCTTCCAGACTATGCTCTAAACCTGTGCCAAATTTCATGGAGATCCGTTCTGCCGTTTAGGCTACAAACGCTAACAAACATCCATCCATCCATCTAAACGTAAGATATTTAGAAACTAATATGATGTAAGTAATTGTTTGGTCAGATATTTATTCTATATCTGTAAATGTTTGATGTACGGCTTAATGTTATAACAATCCCAACGCGTTTTAAACTCATCCGTGCTAATACTGACTCGACCTACTTCTGTCGGATGCCTTCAAACTTTGCATATATTTTGCATAGCAATAGCATCGGCTTCATTTAATTATATTCAAGTTTATGCTAAAATGACTTGTGAATAACTAAGCGAGGATTTTAACTTGCTTTAATGAGGGTGGAAAAATATTCATTAATTACACTTTTCTTCTGACTGGTTAGTTTATGTTAACCTAATAAATATTGCATCCCTATTTTTACCCGAAAGTGAAATAAATGGACGAAACGTTCTAAACTAAAGGGAATTGTTTCGAATTGTTTCATTCAAATAAATAATTAAATCGAAACATATCAACTTTCTAAATACGTTTATATTATACTTACGAGTATACCTACTAATTTTATAAAGAAAAAAGATTTGTATTTTTGTAAGTATTGGAATAACTCAAAAACTAATGGCTAATTCCGAAAATTCTTACACCGTTAAAAAGCAACGTTATAGTTAGTTATTAATATTGTCGTAAGGTATTTAATTCGTATCGCCTTATGATGAAGGTTTCTGTACAACGAAGTTTCAGTTTCCTTATATTTAACAATAACTTTGGGGCTTATTTAATTCTTTTCATACATTTAATAGTCGTTCGACTTTTTGTCGGTTACTTACGAACTTGTTTCTTTTTTGTTTCTCTTTGAATTACTTCCAGTTACCTTCGAGTATTTTTTGTTTAAACGTGAGTCAGTTGGTTACAATATAAAAGATTTCTATATAAAAAACACTTGTATTGATAATCAAGTATATAGGTATACTATTTTACTAAGTAAATTAAGGGTATATACAATAATGAAAATATGAATTTATCTTGTAGACTAGCAATAGGGAATATTCATGTGTTTTTTTTCTTTTTTTAAACGATTCTAGTTGTTATAAAATAACAAGAAAAAAACTGCCGCGAAAATCTTCAACCATTGAGCTAAAGCTAATAAAATAAAATTACGACCATTTTCGAGCGACTAAAACGCGACCGGAGTTGTCATGAGACAATTGACGTCAATCGTCATATTCCATTCATAACATACGCTCAGATGTCGATGTAAAAAACAACAAAGTATCTCAAAGTCAAAATTTATAATTAATAATTAATAATATAATTAATAATAATATGGATTCAATGAAAATAAATATTTATAACAAACCTTTATATATTTTTAAATACTGACTTATTAAAAAGATACATTTTTGTATCAATTAAAACCCTAACCACATTCTTAAAACCATAGATAATAAATGACATTGTCTACTAGTGATGTTTGAAAATATAATTTCTCTTTTTTGTTAAAACCATAAAATATTGTTTCATAAGTATTAATTATTTTTAGTTTCTTTTACTTGTTGAATTTTAATACTAAATCTCAGTAGTATAACAGAAGTCCACATATATGTCGTTCTCTAGTTCCGGCTCGAAGGACCACTTTTTTGATGTTTATTGGGCAATATTACAAAGTTTATAGTAATGTAAAGACAGGTATGTGTTTTGTGTGCTTACTTCGTCGCCGTCTATTTTCGGTTCTGACATATGAGAGCGTTGCCAGCGTCTCCCCCGCGAACAGTTAATGATAAGTAATTTAAAAAATGTACATAGACCTTTGTATAATGTATATATTAATATTGTTGCAGTCGTGGTGTACTTCATAACGAACAAGGTGACCGACGCCGAGGCCGACTTGCGGCCCTACGCAGAGAAGATATTCGACATGTCCGGCGGAGACCAGACCAGCGAGACTGACAAACCAAAGGTAAGATATATCACATAATCACAACAGAAACTCAGATGGGTAGGCAGAGACCACAAACCTCCATTTTCAGATCCTGACACAGATCTTCTCGCTTCTATATTCGTGTCTAACTGTGTCTCATAAATTTTTGACTATTTTATCAATATGGATAATCCCCACCAACATTGCCAATCACATTCACGTTATATTAATTTATCTGGCGCCAGTCAGTTCTATGCCAGTCCAGTTTTTGAATGTTACTCTCCAACTGTACTTTCCTGATGTGAACTAGACATAAATAAAAATAAGAATATATTGCACATTAACGATAATTTCATTAATCAGTGTTGCTTTGACGACTTAACAAGGATATCTGTTAAGAAACAAAGGACTTTCCTTACAAAATGATTCATTTTTATTGAGAAACAATAAAATTAAGTTTTATTTATTAGTTCTAACAAGTAAGATAAAAACATTAAAAAAGATATGTTCACATGTTTTTCTTTTTCACTTAATGTATTTTTATATATTTATAAATGTCAGTGTGAGAGTGAAAAATAAAGCAAGGGCATTTATGTCCAGTTTACAATCCGTTCCAGCGATATAGTCCAGCGCTGGACTACAACTGGAAAAATGTAAACTATATATGTGTGTTGCAGTGTCTGTGGTCGCTGCTGTACAACGTGAAGGACACGAGCGGCGCCGCGGGCAGCGCGCCCGCCGGCGTGCATCTCTGCTCCGGGCCCGACGCCGGACTCGACTTCGACCGCGCCGTCGAACAGGTCACCACACACACATACACACATACACAAACTAGCTCTTTTATAATGCTGGCGATTTCTGGAAGCGATCTCTGCAGGCCGAGACACCCAATTTTCATCATTCCTGTATCCAAACACTGACGGTCAGTGCTATAAATCCAAAAAATCTGGCATATAATTTAAATTTAATAAAATTATCCGTGCGAAAAATATTGTTCTCTTTGTTAATCGAATAATAAAAAATAAACTATATGTTTATACTAGATTTCGCCCTCAACTCCCTCAAAGTGGAATTTAAAAAAAGTGTCAGATATGTTCTTCCAGACTAACCACTGTATCTATGCCTAATTTTATCGAGATCAATTCAGTTTAGGCCAAAAACTCTTAACAACACCCATCCATGTAAATGTTAGTTAGAAGTAAGATTTCCCACTTAATGTATCCTAGATTATCGGCTGATGACACACTTCATTATAATTGACTAGAGCGCCCCCTGTTAATGACAAATTGACCAAAATATGTCACGTCACACTC